GCTCATCCAACTCCCTTTGGATCCAACTACAGTTCCTTTGCTCATCTTAAACCTTCTTCATTATTGGCGGTGTCTTTTTCAAACCAATCCCCGAATAGTATCAACGACCAATGGTCATGGATCGCTCCCAGTAGTCTTTTTTCGGAGCCGGTTGGTGAAAAAAGGCAAGCATATCGGCGCGAGTCGAGATCGTTGGAAGTCGAGAGCGGGTCCTCTCTCGAGGAATCGATCGAGCGAGGAAGAAGCTAGAGCGAGAAGATTGCGCCCTCGAAAAGGGGGGTAGAAGAAAGCCATTCCCTCCCTCCCCGCGGCCATTCAGTCCGCTGGCTACCTAAGAAGACGTAAGCCGCGCAAGAATTAGGCAGAAAAAGGTGGAGCACGCTTCTCGAACGGCCGAGTGTTTGGGTGTTTATACCTGCTCCTTAGAAAAGAAACCCTCCCGCCCTCCCTCCCTCCCTCCCTCCCTCCCTCCTCCCTGCCGCTGAATGCTTACAAACAGGCGGTTGTCAGATTTCTTTTATCTTTCCCGGGGCATCTGTGTGGCCGATGCCTCCGGGCGCTACTCTTCTTTTACGTTTCCTCTTTCTTGTCCTGACGACGAGGCCTCTTCTTCTTGCGCGACCACCCTCCGCGGTCGCGATTATCGATGCCGGAGGAGTTCGCGTGTCCCGTTGCTGGCAGAAACAGGAGCAGTCACGAGAAGTAATTTAAACCAACGGCGACACGCGTTAAGAGGACGATTGATAGTTCTCGGGGATAGACAGAAGCTTTTAGACGACCTGTTTGTACGGTTGTTTGCGAGAGATGAAGATCTTCTTAGCGATATCCTTCCCTCCGTGGACAAGTTTGCTTTGTTTTCCGATCTTCTTTCGTTTGTAGACCGATCGCGGATTTTCGGGGACGAACCGGAGTGGGGACGATGACCAGTGGTTCTCAAATTTTCGACTGAACGAAGCACTCGGCTCTCATTTTCACGAAGGATATTTTTACTTGTTGATCCACGCGTTTGATCTATCTGATTCAATAAATTCTTACTGAATCGATATCGTTGAGGTGTACAATTCGTCGGTATAGTGTTAACGAGGTTATGTATAGGTGCAACATTGCACGGTTAAACTTGAGTTGCTACCGCTGTGGAAATATCTGCCCCTTATTTTTGGCCGTCCTACGAACCTGCAAAGTTTCATCAAAATCGAGAGGGGGACCCTTCCATGGATCTTTCTTCTCAATGGTCCCCACTAGCTCCTCCCATAAGTTCCCCCTGCCGAAAGTGAACCAATAAATACGGCCTCGAAATGTAAAATAGCGAACTCTGCAGATATTGGGAGCCCTAAATTTATTTCCACTAAAGATTAAATTGATTAAAAATTTCGTTTGCGACGTATTGGTGTGCAAAAAAATTAGAAATATTAAAATTTGGATATCTGACAATTTGATTTAGTCCGGTTCTTTGGATCAGGACATTGAACCAGGTTCGTTTATTTTTTTATGGCGTCTCCCTTTGTTCATCCGTGTCCCCTCGTGTCATTGATTAAACCAGCCACGTCGAGCATCGATAATCAATGCACTTAGTGGGTGTTTGTTGGTTCGACGTGGTTCGAATCCGTGCCACGAGAAATTTGGGAAGCCTGTGATTCGTTGCTCATTCATCCTCCATGATGGAGATATTATGTTGCGTTGGGAATTCAATATTTATCCTTCGAAGAGATAAAACACTTTTGAACCGTTAAATCAAAGGTTTTGACCAATAGATTTGTCATCGTTCGAAACAAGATAGAGTCCATGTAGAACGCTTAACCAGCTCGTTCCTTGTATCCAACTCTAAACACAGTTGGAAGGTTTTGTTAATCACCCAATTTGCAGAAATGTGTTGGAATCGTCAGAATCCTCGCAAGGACTCTAATTTCTCGATCACGATGCACAAACTGTCCACCGAAAAATTTCAATTCCGCTTGGACGATCAACTCTTCTTTGATCCCAGAATCGATGCCAATTTATTGAAAATCCCATGAACATTGGGGGGGTGGAGGTTACCGAAATCGATACCAGATTGGTGTCTTCGAACTACAGCTCTCGACGATTAAGGAATCCCGCAGTAATCGATGTACCAGTTCGGTCAGCTCGACCGACAAGCCCCCGCGAGGAATCGGTGACGAGCGTGCGCCGAGCATGTGCAAGAGGAAAGTGCATCGAGCGAGCGATCAGATCGTTCGGCGCAGCCCGACTGCAAGGGAAGCGAGCCAGGAACAACGGGGGAGTTGGTATGGCTTCCGAAGCCTCAGGTTCTACCTACCACCTTTCGGTATTGCCCTGTACGGAACTCGGCTACCTACCTACCTACATTTCAGCCGAACTAAATCGTCGCCGCAAATCGGCGCTGGCGTTAAGTTGCTGCGTCGCGTCGCGGCGTCAAGCGGTCGCAGCTGCACTTAGCACGCTGATCAGGAGTAACGATCGTTACGCGACCATTGGGCAGCTGTAGCCGTCGACCCGTTAAAATGGCTGGTATAATTGAGAGCTCTGGCCATGGGTTCGCGATGCTGGGGTCTCTGGGGGCGGATATGGCTCGCCGAGACCTCTATTTGCGGACACGCCACCGGGTCTCGGTCGTTGCACGACGAAGAAGACTGTTTGCGTCCGTCGTGTGATCGAAGGGGTCGTTTAGGGCTGGGTTAAACAGAGGTCCGTTTGTGTCTGTGCTGTAATCGGGACCTTCGAGCGTGTTGAGGCGAACTGTTGAGAGATGTACCGGTAACAAGGAATTCGAGAAGGTTTGGTGCGCTCGTTGTACATGGACGCGAGTCGTAAAGAACTTGGTTTATACACTGTGCAAGATTGAGTGTCAACGCGTTTGGGCATCTGCCAACGACACTTTTTAGATGGATTCCTCGCTAATTACTTGCTTACTTTGGTCTCATCTACAATACTGATTCACCCTCGTATAAACAAGAAATTCCAATTACAAACATCGATAAACCCTAGTGTTTACGGGAACGTGGCAGTACCTTACACTTGACTGAGAATTCAAACAATAGTTAGCTAACTCTATGCATCGTAACTAGCTCTATTCCTTGTTATAAACAGAGTTTGCTACAGTTCAGAAAGTCGAACGAGCAACTCGAACGCGAGAAGAATTGCTATTGGACTCCAATTTACAAGAGTCCTCGAACTCCTCGCTCTCGGAACACGCTTATTCGAGCACTCCAGTGGCAAACACTTAGCCATCGATATAAGCTTTAATATCCCACAACCGGTGGCTCTCGTGACCCACAGAATCGTCAATGCTGCCATTTACAAGACTCGCTGAGCGATTTCATTCACCGAATACACGTGTCCGCTCGCAGGTACGACTCTCGGGCAGAGTTCACGCGGCGCAGGTACGGCGATTCCGAGGCAGAGGCCTGCAGCCATAAGCGGATTTTCGCTCTTAATAACGAGGCTAAACGAGCGGGGGCCCCGAGTATCATTGTTGCGACGCAAGCGTCGCTCTTAATAGGCATAACTCTCGAAATTCCTTTGAGCTCCAGGGCCAAGTAGCCCGGGGAAATATTAATGGCTTCCGGGGTGGTGGATAAAGTGGAGAACGAAGAAGAGGGGTGGGGAGGGGGGGAGGGGGGAGGGAGGGGGGTGAAAAGTGCAGGCGCGCCTGCTCCTGTATAACGTTCACCCGCGGAACGATCTCTAGAGAAAGAGAGAGAGAATGGGGAATTCACTTCTGCGCGGCTGCGGACTGGATGAAATGGGTTTGGAAACATTCGCCGGTTTTTTCGTGGATAGGGAAGACAGGTTCGACTGAATCGAGCTCGACGCCTCGGACACGGCCACCGTTCGAGTTGTAAACTCGACGGGTTTGCTCGCATTCAAAACGATCCCGCCGCTCTGGGAAACGCGGCCGCTGTTTTGATCCAAGTTTTTTAACGGGTGTTTTATTTAGAGCGCGGCTTTAAACGCTCGCAGGCAAACATTTCGCTAACGGTTTCACTTTTATGGCCCGTTCATGCATCCGAACGGCTCGGAAAAACCTCGCGGAAAACACGACCAAGCGGCTGCCGTGCCGTGGATTTTATAAAACCGTCGGAGTTAAATCGAACTCGAGGCTAAGCCCCGTTGGAGACGTCGTTCTAGCGAAATTATCGTCCTGGAGAGTTAAATGCTTTCATCGGGGGCTGAAACTAATTCGAGTTAGGTGGTGTACAGGGTTTCCTCGAGTATCTACTGACTAAAAGAATTTCTCTAGATACAAATTAGAGGAGCTAATTTAAAATCTGTGATCCGTGTTGGAGGAGCTTTAAGTTTATTAACTCGTATCCTGTGCAGATTGTACACGCGTCAAGGGGTTGGATGTCGGGAAGAAGATGATCGTTGATGAGGGATGAAGCTGTAGAAAAGACTTGAACGCGATAGAAAATATTGATTGCTCAAGGTCACTTCCCCTACTCCGAATCGTCCCCACTTTTGCGCCCGGTGGTTGCCTTCTCTGTTTGCGAGACGGAAAGCATGCGCCTCCAGCTTTGCGCGGTGGATGCAGTGGCAAGGGTAGCCAAGCAGTATGGTGGCTGTAGGCGCTCAGTGACCTTGAATAGCCAATATTTTCCATCCTGAATGCAGTCCTTAATACTTCTTCTTTCTCCTCTGGTCCAGCAATACTATTGCATTGGATCAATGGTTACCAAAGTTACGGTGCACCGAGGACAGTCAGTGTTAAATGATTAACCGTCTCTTCTCATAACATGGTCAATGTTATAACTATATGACATCGTAAACAATCATTTAACACAAAAAGAAAGTCTGTAATATACATGGATAAGGCCACTATATTGCTCACTAACATTAATATATCAATTTTAACCTCATAAGCCTTTTCCGTTCCTAAAGTCGTCTAAGTCCTCAGCAAATAAGATCGCTATACGTATACTTCTCTATTTTCTTGGTCCACCATCAAGAGATGTCCTCGAATGTTGGAACTGGTGGAAAGAAACTAACGGTGGGTCCCCTTTCAGATTGGGCCTGATGTCGTCGCTGATAGCGGGTCGCTACCCGGTGGGAATCGGCGTGGGTGGGGTGTTCTTTCCGTCTACGCTGCAGCACCTTCACCAGCAACAGCAACATCAGCATCACTCGCGGCTGGCGGCCGCGTCGTCGGCGCTGAGCAACGCGGTGCAGGTCACCGGCCAATCGGACATCGTCGATGCCGACGGCATCCGCGGCGTCCTGCCCGGCGGCGCCGGTTGGCCGTTTCCATGGAGGCCGACGCACGGCCTCCAGACGCTCGAGCATCCGTCGCCGAACGACGTCGTGGGCACCCTGAGCCGCGTCAGTCCCGCTTCCGCTTCTTTTCCGCAAAGGGGTGAGTTTGCGCGACCATGTACTGCTCGAAGCTGGAAAGATTCGACCCAGTTTTTTGATCGCCACAAAAAAATATGAAAGTACATGTGCCACGAGTCCAACAGTTTAAGAGTCACGACGCTTCGAAGACTACAAAATTAAAGAACAGCGCGGAATATCCAATTTACAGAGTTCCGTTTAAAAAGAAGAACTCAGTCCCACTTTTTAGACGCATCAATACATGAAATCGAATAAAATTTGCCAAACTGTTGCAAAGTTTTCCGAATTTTATTAACGGAAGAACAGATAGAAACGATTAGATCCGTTTGTAGCACACGTCGATCGTCAAACAGTGTTGAAAAACGCGGGAAGATTTTATTTATCGACGCGTTTTGTACCGAAAAATCAATTACAAACGAAAATGTATCGACGGTATCAAAACGTGCCTCGATTCTATCGCTAATCGAGACGCAGGGATTTCGATTTTGTTTCTCGTTACGATTCCACTGTTGCGGTTTTTCCGCGTAACTCGATGATTTAGTTACGTTGGAGTGGCTTTTTTTCCAACCCTCTGCGGTTCCGCCTACAGTTTCCGTCGCGGTTTCACGGTGTTTGGGCTCGTCCAAAACTGGATCGGCATATAACCAAAAATTAGATCGATCCGGTGTTTCACTATTCGGTAAAAATAGTGCAAACACCGGATGCCGTCGCTCTTTCAATAAATCGATCGACATAGTAACTTTTGGGACAATTGTACCCCGATATTTTTACACGCAGAATTTACTATTCCATCGAAATCGAGATTAGAAATGAAATTTTGTTTGAAAGTGTAAATTACATGAGAATATCTCCCCTTAGAAATTGCTTTCGTTCAACGACAATGGGTCGATTTGAAACATAAATGAACATTTTGAATTATTCCATGGTCATGATTATGCGTGAAATCGCGTCGCATCGTCGGATCATAAATTTAGGCTAGTCGAGCATAATAGATCCGTAAACATTCACGCGACGAACGAGCAGGCACTGAAAATCGCGCAAGTAAATACAATATTCGATAAACTAGAATAGCTGTCGATATACCTATCGACGAGCAATGATTCCAAACACCGAACGATTAACGCGATTGGTTCGTTAGTATAATTACTTCGATCAACTATGCGCGAACAGATTCCAGGTCAATTATGATTTCTTCTTTGAATTACAGCAACCGATATTTCGAAAATTCGAGCTACGCTACTCTTTCAATTACAATATTACACTTTGCGTCGTCTTCTTCCTATCATCAAAATTTAATTCACGATAAATAAATTCTTCGTGAACAGTTAACCATTTGTAACACCATAAAGTTTTCACAAATGTATTAGCAAAACAAAGAAATAACGATCACTGCGTCTGAATGTGAACACGAAGGGGTTAAACGGGCGGACATGATTTTATTGTAAATATTTGCCCCTAAACGACAAACTGGGAGAAAATAAAACTTACGGAAGATAAGTCAGCCGTCGAAAGAGGGAAAAAAACAACGATTTCGTCGACCACGGGAGAGGATACAGTCGCGAAGACTTAGGAGGAAGTCGTCAAAGCGATCGCCTTGTTTGATTTCGCGGCGCGTCGAGGAAAACCAAACGGGGGATGTTTTCGGGGGCGAATCGGGTCCCGCGTCGATGATAGGGCGAACGTCGCAAGACGAGGATCGTGAAAGAGCAGAGAACGGAATGGAGAGAAAAGGGCAAGGCGAGGGTCTGTACACGTTATACGTAAGTGTATAAACGCGAGCGTGGACGGCGACCAGTACGGCTTCCACGGCTTCCACCACGACAAACGAACGTCGATCGCCTTACCCACCGATCGTTTTACTCTTGCCACTTCGCCAAAATACTTGCCCGCCTGCTAGTTGGTCGCCGTTCGCGCCTAGACGACGATAAACCCCGTCGAACGGCTGAATTTTGTCGGTTGTGGTTTCACCCTCCATGCACAGTCGTGCTCCAAACGCACTAAATGGTTCCAAAATAGTTGACGCGAGTCGGGGATAAACATAATGAACACTCGTACATATGTACAAATGTATACATTAACGTATACAGGGTGTTCGGCCATCCCTGGGAAAATAAGACAAAAATCAAGAATATCAATTTGTTGATTGAGGCTTCGTTAAAAAGTTATTAAAAAATTAAATTAAAAAATTTCAAATCCTTCACGGAAAAATTATTTTTGGTTGCACAGGTCAATTGCAATCATTTTTGATGAGTACACATACCCCCGAAATCCTACGTACTTTCGAGAAAAAAATTCTTTACCGAAAATATACTGTGTGGCCGGAAATGTTTCTATAACTTTTTAACGAAGCCTTAATCAACAAATTGGTATGCTTGATTTTAGTCTTATTTTTACCCCTAGAATCTCTCAGTAAAATTTTTCCCAGCGGTCCAGACGTGCAATTTTTAGATCTTGTCTGTTATTTTTTAATAAAAAAACCGTAGCTTGCTTTGTATCGTGATTCCGTACGTGTGTTTACTGGTGTTCGGAGTATGCACAGTATTTTTTTCAAGTAAAAATAATGAAAATTGTACCAGCTGCAGATCATCGGAGAAATTATTCCCCGTAGCTAACACGTTTCTATGTTGGAATATTTTTCAAAAGACACAATTTGTACAATTTTGATACTTTCGGTTCTCCGTTACTTTTAATTAATTGTATTATTGTTTGCCTTAAATTTATATAGGACACATTAGTCCTCTATTCATTCGCAATTCCATCACGATTGGAATTATTCGATCGTTAACTTGCGATCGTAAATGAACGTTCATTAACGAAATGCTGGATTTTACGACGGATTAGCGAAATCGCGCGTAGCGTAGAGCGGGTTTCGCGCGAAAGGCGCGAAGTATCGGTGCTGAAACGTCGAATATATCCGTCGATCGATGAAAAAGGTTCGCACGGACGCGCCTCGATCCAAAGCAATTACGTCAAAGTGGATAAATAGAATATTAATTAGGAGAATATCAATCGACTACATGTTAAATGCAATGCCGCCAGAGATGAATAGCCACGTGATTAATCGAATATGCGCCGCTGGAACGAATGTATTCATCGACAATATCGAAAGGGATCTCGTCGTCGATCCTATCCACCGCCGCCGCACAGAAACGCTTTAAAGAACCGGTTAATTAACGCATTTGGCGCGTCAAACGATTTGCAACAATCACGACAGCCAAATGAATAGCGCGATTTGCAAAATCATAGTACCTTTGTTCCTTTGTCACTTCCCATCGGTGTACATCATGCACGCAAACGCTCGATTAAAGTTTTTGTCGTTAATAGTTTTCTCAAAACCCGTTAACGTTATCATCACATGGAAATTTATAAGCGTTCTTTAACCGAGATTCTATTTGCAATCTTAAAACTCGCGTTGACCTCGCTTTATCGGTGACTAACGCAACCAAATTCGATTAAGTGGTTTCTACTTCCAGAAGGTCAATATTTGCATGGTTTGCGGGTTATTAGTGTAACAATACACCTATTAGGGTAGCCTGTAAATTCGAGGATTATGTTCAACCTTCGACGTTCAAGAAACCACTGCATTACCTCTACATCTTGAACAAAATTCTACAGAATCGTTATTCGAGGTAGATGTACTTTATTCTTTTTGCAATAGGAAGGATTCGAATCCGTGTTATCCGCCATTGATCTTATTTTCCACGATGGCGACCGAAGTATTTAAACATTTATCGTTGGAAATCCACGGGAACCGATACAAAGTAGCTCGAGAGGACAATAATGCGTTCGTTTTTAGTAGGCAGGGTGGCGGAAGGCTGCTCATCGATATCGATTAACGCTTCAATTTGCCGGCACGCGCGCGCGTACACGATAATGGAAACATACGCTTCGAATCCAGCCGATGATCGGTAGTTTATTGTCATTGTGGCAAATGCAGAGAGCCAAATGGATACTATAGCTGGCGGGCGTGTTATAAATTTCTGCGCGGTTCGGCCAGAAACAATGAAACGACATCGATCGAACGTCGTAGTACTGCCCCTTAGTGCTCGCTATTCTAGGCAGGCATGCGTTAGGGGATCTAGGGCAGCTAGGGGAGCCGAAACGTGTTTGTTATTTCTTATTTTTTAATTTTATTATATCGTCAAGTACATTAGTCTTCGTACGAGAATGTTTTCGCTTGCTCGTAGCTGTTATCGACTGCTAAAACTATTTTTTCGGTTGCGTTTGATCGACCAAATATTTCGCAAGTTGTGGTTTATGTTTAGCCATAGACAACAGTACAACTTTTGGTTCGGATTACCGACGACAAGTATCGATAACGTAAAACGAATGATAGTAGGCATAAATAGAGTGAAATGTTCAGCAACTAAAATAAACTCGCGTGAAATCGTTTCGAACTAAAAACATTTCGGTCGAGAAGGTAGGTTTAACTTCTTTTTAGTTTACTTATAACGGTTAGGGGTACCGCTTAAAAGCGACCCGAGTTTGTTGACGAGCACGACTTTCTTAGTTCGGACAAAAGACCTAAAAGAATGCGAATGTTGCTCTGCGTAGACGATCTGGACGACGAGAACGGGGAGGACCGTCTGCACCGAACGAGGAGTCCGTCGTCGGGGGACGAGGGCCACGACGACCTGGGGGACCAGGACGACTGCCAGGAAGCCGACGGCGAGGGTGAATCGACGAACTCGACGGGGATGCACGGCGGCGGTGGCACGGGGAACGGCGGCGGCGGTGGCGGTCAGAACAGCGTGCAGGTCGGCGTGGACGGTCGCGACTCGAACAGCATGAAACGAAAGAAGAAGACGCGCACGGTGTTCTCCAGGTCGCAGGTGTTCCAACTGGAGAGCACGTTCGACATGAAACGCTACCTGTCGTCGTCGGAGCGCGCCGGCCTGGCGGCGTCGCTGCGATTAACCGAGACCCAGGTGAAGATCTGGTTCCAGAATCGTCGTAACAAGTGGAAGAGGCAACTGGCCGCCGAGCTGGAGGCGGCAAACATGGCGCACGCCGCGCAGAGACTGGTCAGGGTGCCGATATTGTATCACGAGGCGTCCGCCGGGACCGGGGCGTCAGGCGGCGTCTCGGTGTCGGTGGCCGCGCCGCCGACGGCCGCTGCGCCAGCGTCGGTCGCCACGTCGGCGCTCTCCCACTCGGTCGGCGTCGGCGTCGGCACCTCCTGCCCCCCTACCACCGCGCAGCCGATCTTCTACTCCCATCACCATCAGCACCACCATCATCATCCGGCTCACGTGCAGGCGCACACTCTCCTGCCCCACCAGGTACACCCACAACCGCCGCCACCCCCGCCACCGCCGCCTAACGGACAACCACCCCAATCCTCCTCGCAATAACACCGTCCGGCTCACGAGACCGTCGGCCCGCCGCAACCAACCGCCGCTGACAGCACGATGTCTCTCTCGCGACTCGCCACGATCGCGTTGTCCGGTTGAACACTGGCCGTCGGACGTTCTTGGACCATCCGGGTGGTCACGGGACGATTGGGTTGGTTCCAAGGTTGCTTTTTCTATTCTATCAGTTTTTTTTTTTTTTCAATTTTTTTTCACTCTCCCTTCTCATCTGCTATCGAAACTTTACTCGTGGAGGTTTTCGTGTAGGTGGTCTGACCGGGGGTGGGCCAGCGGTGGCAGACAACGATTTTCATTGGCGAGGAACGGTATTTGATAGTAATTGGGTTGCAAGAATGGATCAAAGTATTGGGTCGTCCTGCAAGTTTCCATTTTTATTCTAAATGACCACGCGTTATGTTCTCCAGTGTAGTACAGTATATTAGATATATTTTTATTACGAGTATTTGCTGTCTTGGAAGCAGTAGTCTAACTTCTTAAAAATAATGAAACTTAGCTTTTCATCAAATGTACGTACAAGTATTATAGAATGGAGGTGATAGTTTACGCGTATCTATCGGGGGGAAACAATTCAGTCTTGAAACGAGGGACTATTGTACGCAGCAGTAGAAATAGAATCGTCGTCTACCATTACTGACCCTCCTCTAGTCAGGCTAGAAGACGAAGTTTGAAGTCACAAACAGAGACGAGCAAATTATTGATCCAAACACTAATTTCGAATAACAAGTAGAAGATGAACAATTTTTAACTAGTTATTTTGTCAATAAAAATAACATTCCGAATTGAAAAATATACCTATTAAATAGAATAAATATTGAAGATAAATCCCTGTACGGTGTTTTCAATCGTGATATATTATTTGAATAAAATTTTGCCCATCTCTGGTTATGAGCAATTTGATAGATAGTGCTGTAGTATTTCACTGAAGCTGACGAGAGTGGGTGCATGGTTTTATTTTTGTAAAGAGATCACCGTGAAAAGTAATACTCGATGATGAATATAGTAGTCGTTCAAGACCATTTAGGAGAATACAAAATTAAAGAACAAAGTCCTCTTTCCATTACTTTATTTTAAATTTTAATTTTGTACATAATGATTCCAATCGTGCCAACGTGATTCATTGGCGGCTATATTAAAATTAATTATTGAAATATGAAAAACCACCTCAAGTAGATCAAAGAAACGATCGAAGTTAGTGTCTTTTAGGTTTACGAAACTTATCCCCTCGGTGAAATTTTCAAAAATCTACGACTCGAATGAGATCTCTTTCTGCCATACATTTTATACAGTTTTGGTTGATTCCACCGAACCAAGAATTTTATTTTAAACGTAGACCATTATAATATAAGTAAAAAAGAGAAGCACAACATATATATCCATTGCAAAAGTTTCCAAAAAATAATACTGTGATAAACGAACTTGTATAGTGTAAAAATTTCTAAACAGTTTCATTCCGACGGAGCTAACTGATATCCCAACGAGACATTGGCACTTACACAAGGACACCTCTCACACCCGGAAGTCTCGAGCACTATCTAAATTACTACGAAGTTTCAGGAAAAGGAAAACGTCACGTTGTCCACGAGTAAAAGTTCGCTAAATAATGTCCAGCTCCATCAGAATCCTTCGGAACGATCCGATTCTCCACGTTCGTCGCGCCACGTCTTTCAAATTCACGTTCCAAGCACACGTGACTTCGCAAATGTGGCCAAATTAAATACGATCACTCATAAACTAAACAAACTCTAGGCTCCAGTTTTCGTGAGTCAATATTTAATTAATTATTGCACGAATTTAGTCTGAATGCCTGATCCTCTACGTACAAATTGCTTCCAAGGCTAACTTTCCTTTCCTCCTAGAATACATGTATTGCACGTAGAAAAAAAGATTAGTTCTGGATAAAAGAAAATATAGATACTGTCGAGTAATTTTTTTTTACAATTAGTCGTAAGCCTTACGAGGTCTGACTAACATGTCTGACCCACGACGACACGCAAATTATTGTACTTCCGAGTCTGATCTTTCTTTCTCCCTGCAATACATTTTATTCGATACCTAAATATGTACATATATACAGAGTGAACAACGTAACATGATCCCCTTAATTATTTCTGATACATTCGGACGTAAAGCACACTATAACCAAATAATTCTAGTAATTTTTTGTGCTGATCAATTATAAAACGTTAGACGTACAAAACAATTAAAAAAATATAGTTCCTTATGAGGCTGTCGATCGAAGCGTATTAAAAATACATGTCCAAGTCTAAGAAGGTGCGTCTAACCTCGTAAAACGTTCAATTGAGGCTAAAAGGAGCCAGAAAAACTACTGATTGGACGATTAATAAAATACCGGAGGTATCTTGTCGAAAAAGTGTGACGTTTTGCGCACGATCGAATTAATTTGGCCAGGTTCGTGGAACGGTGCTAAAGAGACGAGCGTTCTCCAGCGGGGCTTGGCATTGCCGCGGTCCCACGCGACCGTCGACTTCCGGCAAGTCGAAAAATTGTAATATAAGTATGTATCTAGTCTGTCACTCGTCGATAAGAAACAGCTCGTGGAACGATTACGAAGATATTTTGTCGAAGAGCGCGGGACAAGCACGGTACTGTCCTATTCTCACACTCCTGTATTTATTTTCTATTTTCTGTGTTTTTTGTTTTTTTAGATTCGTGCGTGAAGATTATTTCTACGATCGGAGTGGATGTTCACTTTAAAATCGGGGACGTTGCAAAAGCGAAACAAAAAACGAAAAGAGAAAAAGGTGTTTACTCTGTGGAAAAAAAAATTGTAATTAACCGCGAGCACAGCTAAGAGATTGTAAACTAATTGTTTAGGCGCAGCGTAAGACACAGGCAGGGTTCCTACGACATGTTCTACCTGTTGTGATAAGTATCTAAACGATTAATTTTATTAAACGAACGGTAGAGTCACGAAATTACCGGCTCCATTGCATTGTATATCTCCACCTTATCTATAGACGTCAATTAAAGACACGCCTGTCGCGCCGTGTTTTGTACGGACAGTTTGTGATCCGAGATCTCGAATTATTGTACAGCCGATCGTTTCGTAATCGCTAATAATGATCGTTGAACCATACACCAGTGGACGTCGTTCAGCACCCCTTCTGTTCTCACGTTTCTTTCCGTCCCTTTCAGCAGTCCGAGGCTACTTTAACATCGTTAGCCTGACCAGACCGTGTCGCCGTCATTCAAACCATAATATATCACGGTCTTTTGAGGGTGAAATGGATTTTACAAACATAAGGACGATTCTAGAAACTGACCAAAATTTCTAAGAATCAAACCCAATACATATATCAGTGTCCAATACCCACAGAATGATGAATCAGTAAAAATATATATCGTCTACACGTGTTTGACACTTTAAAACGTTAAGTTTTCAGTGTAATATTGTTGACTAGAGTCGATTCATGCTCGAAATATTTCGAAAGTGACCCCATCGACGGCGACGCGATCTCAGGTAAACGAAAGGATCGGTAAACGCGACGCCGGAATTTCCAGAGTGGATTTACCTCGCACGAATTTATCAACAATTCGTGGAACAGTCTCGTACAAATATACACGGCGAACTTATTGTGCCCTCGGTCTGCGTAAATCCTCGAACATCCACACTTCAGTTGACGAGAAGCCTCGACGCGATGAACGCCGCGGAGTACCCTGTCGCTTCTCGACAAAGTTAACCGATGATTTCCCGGTAGAACGCCGATGTAATCGAGTCGTCGCGGAGTGGAAAGTGATCATCGATTGTCGGGGCTGCAGTGTGGTGCTCGACACTCCGCGCATTGTGTCCTATACAGGGCGTTTAACCACAGGTGGCCAATCTTTTAGGGGTTGATTCCACGTACGAGAAGTGACACGAAAATCAAGAACGACAAACTCCATTCGAGGCACTTGCAAACGAAGTACCGCGGTCGAGACATATTTTCAAATCATTCATTTTGTATTAAAGTCATAAACATTCCCTCAATTAACAAATTAGTATTCTTGATTTTCGTCTTATTTTGGCCACCAGAATCTCCCATTAAAACTTTTCCCAGGGGTGGCTGAACACCCTATACATCCAACTGGGTCTTAAATTGTTTTTCTATTGAAATAGTTTTATACTTGATATTCGTTTTATCTTGCCACGTTAAATTACCCTCGTAAACATTGCGTATTTGCACTTAAACGCCCTGTATGTTCCGAGGCGTATCGAGGGGGGCATTTGATCGCAACCAGCGTAGCCAGAAAAACAAGCTAAATTCCATGTTTTAGGAGTGGGGGAACAGAACAATAGAAACGCTCGTCGCTTCCCCCACCACTGTGCACGGTGCGTGGTAGCGATGGGCCCCCCGATATCATGTTACCCCCACCCCTTAGAAACGGGATTTAGCTTATTCCGGACACGTCAGTCGCAAGGAACGGGGTACGGCGCGCAACTATCGAGGTTCGCGGGCGCGTGTCGCGGCCGTTTCGTTCGAGGCGAAGCGAAGAGGCGCCATTGGCGGCGCGCGACCACGAGGGAGCACGGACGACAATGCAGCCTGCACCGCTGCGTTTCAGCATCCGCATACACACGGCGCATCCGAGTAAGTACGCGCACGTAAGTACGTGCACTTCAATCATCGTTCTCACACCCCGTCGCGCGCCATCGCACCTTTCGCCTCTTTTTCGCCTCTGATCTCTCCACGAGCCTTTCATCCGTGGAGCGATTCCATCCTCCACGCGCGGCCCTCTTCCCCGTTTTAGTTTTATTCCGCCTCCGCTGTCCTTTCTTCTCCGCCCTCTTTGCGTCGTTTACTGTCTTCATTTCTACCGACCAACCCCACACCCCCACGCCCCCGCCAACGTACACGTATACACTCGCATCCCCCCTTCAGCCCGTGGAGGAGAACTACGGACGCGAGCAGCGGCAGCAAGCAAGCAAGCCAACACGCCGGGTTCCCTTTCGCCGCCCTTAGGGACTCTATCATATCGAGGCT